CTAATACCGTAGCGTCAAGGTTGGGCTTTTTAAGTAGTGGTCTAACAAGCGCATGCTTAAGGGTCGGAGGAAGCGAACCAGAACTCAAGCATGAGTTAACAAAGTTGACCAGCCCAGGGCCAATAATATCAATAACTTCTTTAAAAATCTTCCCTGGTAGGGGATCGAGCGGAGAAGCAGCAGGTTTGAACTGAAGCACACATTTTTTAAGTTCTGAGAGGGACACCTGAGCAAACGAGGTGAAGGTATCACCAGGGTAGGACACAGCTGGGGCATAAGGTGGAAGATATAAAGGAGTCACTCTGATGGCCCGGACTTTTTTTCTAAACAAAGCAAAGTCATCTCTAAAAGATAATTACTAATAACATTTGTATTTTTTTTTAAATAAAACTCCACTCAGAACATGTTTCCTCCATCAGTGTCTCAGTCAGAAACACTGACCAATCTTCAACAGTGGAGAAGAAACAGAGTCTTTCCACCAGTTTCTTGCTCTGAAGGAAACATCTTAACTCTTCATCGTGGGCAGTGAGACCACACTCTTTAGAAACACATTTCTCAAGTCAGAAACTAAAGAAATGATCCCTGAAAGTATAGTCTTTGGTTTGTCTAGGAGGTTTCTCAGGCTCTTATGTCTGGAGACGAGCACTCGTACTGATGGTGGCCACACAGACACACCTCCTGGGACCAGATCGTCATCAGTGGCTGATTCTTTTACTTTGTTCTGCAGCTGTTGTGTAGATTTAACGCCCTTCACACATGATCACATTTACCAGACAATCCCAGCTCAAATTCCACTCACCAGGCCTTTCCTGAACTTTCAGGCATTTCTCAGTCTTCATCAATGGGCGGAGTCTAGTCTGGCTGCCATGGAAACAGAGATGCACGATCAGCATCTACTCTTGTTTCATCCAGAGCACTTTTAGGAGTTAGCACGAGGATCTGTCCTCGGATTGAGACCATGTGATGTGGCACAAAACCCCAGAAAAGGTTGTTAAATGCATCTTTGATTGTTTTCCTTTGTTTTTTTGAAATGATGAGTCGCTGCAGGATTTTGCCTGTGGTCCAGACCTGCTGATTATTGATTATATTAAAAGCAAAATCCTGCAGTGACTCATCATTTCAATATGTTTTATTTCAAGAGGACTGAAGAATGTTTTATGTCAAAACAGAAAACATTTGGTCATTGCTTATCCTCCATAAAACACAATCAAACTACCTCATCAATAGTACTTTTACAATAAACACTTACTTATCAAAGAATCTGGATATAGTTAAACCACAAACAGCCGTACAAATAAATGATGGCAAAGTTGAGTTTCCCTCCAGAGTGAGTTCAGATTTACAGCCTCTCTGGGCTGCACGCACTTGGCCTGAATGTTCTTAAAGAGGCCCAACAGTTTCTCACACGCCTTGCTGGGTAACAAATGACCAGTGTGGTTGCTAGTGCTTTTCTTTCCTCTCTATTGATATACTAATAAGGGCAGGAAGTCCTGGAAAACATGGAAAAGTGCAAATCCCTGCGCTGAGGAAAAGCATGAGATCAAACAATTCCTGGTGGGAAAATAATTTTCTCCACATAATTTAAAACCCAAGCTGTGATGCATTCATTTTTACTGTGCTCACATGGGTGGACGTGGTTTGTTTTCTGTCAGTGACAACACAAAAAGGGTTTTCCACATTTGGTTCCACAGGGTCACAAGAGCTCTCCAGGTCAATTTGACTTGCAACCACCACGTTGACACACACTAACCTTCGCAACCTTAGTGAACCAAATGAGAAGTGAAAGGATCATGCAAAATTGCATTGCTGCCGAAAGTGAAAGCAAACAAATCTACAACAAGATGTGGCAGACACAGAAATCACCAGCAGCACCAGGGGAGCATGAACTTATGTCCCACACAAGGAAAATTATGTAGGAAAAGACTGTCTGCTGTTAGTTGCCAGATGTGTTCAGCATTACTGCTGGAAAATTCCAGTATTTCATCAGTGATGCTGCTGTGATGGGAGGAGGTTTATCCCTGTGACTCACAGGATTCCACCATGAATTTTGAAATTCTTTTCTCAGTAAATAATACAAATGATGTTGTAATGTTAAAATTGTCACGAATTATTCCGTGCACTTCTGTCCCTTTTGTTCATGTCACAATTTGCTGCTGGGGATTCAGAGCTGCCTGCTGTTAATAAAAAAAGAAGTGATACCAGGTGATTTGGACACATCCTGCTATAACTGGCACCAGTTCTTTGTTTTTTTGTAAATGCACCATTTTCCCTGACAAGCTGAAGCTTCATTTGCTCAGAAAACAGCCAATAAACCTGATTGAGAAACCTCCAAGACAAACCAAGACTATACTTTCAGGGATCATTTCTTTAGTTTCTGACTTGAGAAATGTGTTTCTAAAGAGTGTGGTCTCACTGCCCACGATGAAGAGTTAAGATGTTTCCTTCAGAGCAAGAAACTGGTGGAAAGACTCTGTTTCTTCTCCACTGTTGAAGATTGGTCAGTGTTTCTGACTGAGACACTGATGGAGGAAACATGTTCTGAGTGGTTTTGTTTTCTTTAATTAAAAAAAATGCTGACTTTGTAACTGTGTTGTATGTTTTATTTATGTAAAGTTATCAGTATATGACCCCACAGGACTTTGACATGTTATGGTGAATATGTTGAAGTCTGACCAGTTGACCAAATGTTTTGTGTGCGAACATCTGGATGTTTGCTCCACCTACAGACTCTACTTTGAGAATGTACAAGATGAGCCGTCAGTCTTCTCCTGTCAAACAGGTGTTTTCACTTGATGTTACCTGATTAAACAGGACACAAACTAACCAGGACTGTTTCATATCATCTGTCAGTTTCTTTAAAACTAATGAAGCAAAACCATCTTCTCTACTGCACAAATGGTCTAAACAAAGCAAAGTCAACTTTAAAAGATGATGTTACTAATAACATTAGTATCTTTTTTAATAATAAAACTCCACTCAGATCATGTTTCCTCCATCAGTGTCTCAGTCAGAAACACTGACCAATCTTCAACAGTGGAGAAGAAACAGAGTCTTTCCACCAGTTTCTTGCTCTGAAGGAAACATCTTAACTCTTCATCGTGGGCAGTGAGACCACACTCTTTAGAAACACATTTCTCAAGTCAGAAACTAAAGAAATGATCCCTGAAAGTATAGTCTTGGTTTGTCCTGGAGGTTTCTCAGGCTCTTATATGAACAGCACAAGGGCAGGATTGTTGGCGATCCTTTGGAACAACAGTAGTGCAGGATCTCAGTGTAAAAACTCAAAACCAGACTCTTTACAAACACATTTCTAAAGTCAAAAACAATCCATAACAGTATAGTCTTGGTTTGCTCTGGAGGTTTCTCAGGGTCTTCCTGCAGACGAGCACTCGTACTGATGGTGGACTCCTGGGGTTCTCAGACACACCTCCTCTACTCGCTTACAAATTACCTTTTTGTTTTGTCATTGCTGCAGTGAAACTTTAAGGAAACGCTACAAAATGTTCTGAATAAAATGCTGTGGTGCATTTTCAGGTGAACTAGAACCACTGTGTAGTAGAAAAACGTGAAACTTATCAGTATTGTGTTTTTCTTCTCCTGCAGTAGGAAGCACCTGACTGCTGTGCTGAACTTCAGAGGCCTGAAGAGAGGCTCCGAGCACCAGCTGATTCTCCAGAGACTCACCGAGCTGAGGGGGAACTTGGGCAACAGCGACGGCGACAGAAGCCAAGTATTATTTGCTGACATGGAAGTCAAGGCCAACACGGACTGCCTGTCCAACCTGCCTTTCTTCTGCCTCAGCATCCTGCGGCCAAACAACTAGGGAAACTGCTTTCTGGACAAAGTACACACACAACACTACTTCATTTTTGGCAGGACTTGAAGCGCCACAGTGTGAAATTCTTTTCACTCTTGTGTAACATTTCTGTGAATGAAACTTGTCGTCACACAGAATGGAACAGGCCGCTTCAGTGGAGCTGATCATGCATATTAGCAGATTGTATATATGGACCACGTGTACAAACAAGCCTGACAGAGAACAATAAACAGTAACTGTAGGAAATCTCTTAGTGCTGTGTATGTCTCACAGCCTCGTGTTTCTCCAGAGCTCCACTGTTGTCCAAACACCTATTGTACAACACATCGACAGCAGCTCTGTTGCTTCATGACCACTGTAGTTTATTTTGACTCAGTCCCACACACACATTGTCACCCAACAAACGAGGGAACCTTTAAAAGCAAAAATGATGACTCTTTTAATACGCAAATGTAGAAATGTCATGTGTTTTCACTTACAAACTTGTTTCAATATGACACATGGAGCGTGTTTGATGTTGTGCAAGTTTTTCCAGCTGTGTGAGGAATTAGTTTC